GCCACGGTGGGCAAGAAATGAATAGTCCGGACTTGAGCCCTCATGAGCAAACAAAACAGACTACAAATGAACTAAGATCATTTCCAGAGTGACAACATAGGGTAGTTTTTATAATCAACAACTGGTGATGGAACACAGCTGAGGTAACAATGTGGTCCCAACAATGAGAGAACACTCATGGTGTTATGCTTATTATGAACATGTATGTGACGAATGAGAATATGGTGTTTAAATTATCATGAACATTCGTGAATGCTGGTTAAAATTATGAAAAAATGTATAAATGCAAATACAAATTATGAAGACCCAAAAATAATTGAAAAAAAAAATTGTCATGCAATTACTTGAATGCCAGTTAAACGGTCATAAATATATATATAAATGCTAGTTGAAATATAATTATCATGTACAATCATCCCAGAAACAGGCACTGACTGGGAGGCCTGGTCAAAGTCAATAAGATCAATGTTTCCATAGAAGTCAAGAGTGCATTCATCTGCCTGAGAGGCAAGGAACCAACAGTCTGCAAACAAATACACCTGATCCATAATATGGTTGTGCACATACACTTAGGTCCAGAAAAAAACTGGCATCAATAGCCAGTGAATGCGAGGGAGAAGAAGATGCTCCTTTCAAGGCTCACATTTTCCCTTTCATGTAGCAGTGGTTAACCCCCTCACATAAAATTATTTTAAGAGCCACAGTATAAGTTTTGTTGAATGTTGAATTAAAAATCGACATCACAGTACTCAGGACACCTCTAAAAGTACTCCGTCCCCATCTTCAGCAGCATGCGAAGAGTAAAAATTCTGATGGTACCAGTAACTGTCTGATTGAAAATCTGTCTTGCCTTTCCCCTGAGTGTCAAGCGTCGGCCAGGAACAAGTTTCATTTGGCAGAAGGGCATGTTTCTCTGAATATTTCTTTAAATTCTTTTTGTAATTTGCACTGCAGTGATGTCATCCTTTGAGGAAGACATGTAACTCAGCACCATTTCCAGTTTGGCAGCATTTATATGAATGCCAACGAACAGCGTGGAAATTATGAAAAATATGTATGATTCAGAATACTGTCATGGTAAATGATTTACTTGAGCCTGAAATCATTAAACGACCAACAGACAAAACGTCTGCTTGTTCTTCCTTGCTGTGTTGTCTGTATACTGGATATGAGCAGTCTTGAGGCACATCTTGTACAATATAAATGGATTAAAAGCACAAAGTGTTAAATAATACAGAGAATATACATGTATATTAAAGCTATATCAATGTAGGAGCAATTCACATGTTAAGTTGTGACCAAAAAATGAGTCTTTACATGGACAATCAAGTTTACTTCTAGTGTCACCCCCCCCCCCCCCCAAAGCGGTGAGCAGCACGCTGTGTTGTAGTTCTCAGACAGGCTGTGATATCTGGGCCTTTTATAGCCCACCAATCATCCGATCTTAGTAGCTGCTCTAACCAGTTGCCTTTTACAATTTTATAACAGTTTGGTTAAGGAGTAGTGGATATCACCCTCTCTTTCTACGCCTCCACGGAGCCCTTGAACCCAAACATATTTCCGTCTGTCTCTGTAGCATGCCCCCAAGATAGGGCACAATATGTCAGCAGCTGTGTCCATCTCCCTGTTTAGGGCTCGGGGCATCATCTGGGAGGACAGACCCAATGCCCCTTAACAAGCATGCTGTAAAAAGGTGACTGATTAAAAGTTCAATCAGATGCAGTAGGCCAAAAAGCCACAGATACTGCAGCCAAGCTGTAAACTACTAAACAATGTGCTGAAACACAACTGCTCTTTAAAGGATGAACGCAGAAGAATAGTGCAGTGTTTTGGTTGTGACCTTTCTGTTCAAATGACAACAGGGAAACACCACTTTAATACTGTGTTGGTTCAACAACAAGTACTGTTGTCAATGTAAAGAAATCAGTTTCATTATACTAATAATCTGTGTCCTATCTTTCTATGAGTGCTGATTAATACACTGTCTGTCTGTCTATTATTTATGCAATATTTCATTTACACTAACAGTTGGCTTGAATATAAATCATCCCCCTCCTACGATGGGACTACAAAAGTTTCCCCATGATATACCTTTTACAGTTCTGTCTCTGAAAATTTCAAACTCAGTTCAAATTACTTAAATGTTAATACTGCAAATTTGATGAAAAAAATGTGTGAGTAAACTTTCCAAATATCTTTCTAAACTTTACCAATTATTTATTTTGTAGCACTGAACATAAAATGAAAACAACCAATTAAATGTCTCAATGGTATAAATGTGGAGTCTCAACATCCTGATATGGAAGTCACGCATTCAATCTTATGTGCCGACCCAGACAAAGGTCAGGGGTTCAATCCTCAGAAGGTTGGAGTGCCTCTGCGTAACAGTGTGCAAATAAATAAGCCAGATAGGTAAAATAGATGTACACGCAAAACTCAAACTGAACACGATTAAAGTCCAAAAGTGTACGAACAACCAGAACTTTCCTTTGGAATTTACAGCCGGTGAACATTAAGAAGCAGAATAATTCTCATACAATGGCCTCCAAAATGACACCCAAAAAAAAAAAACAAGTTAGTTGCCTAGTCTTTACAGGGCATTGCAGAATCGACTCCAGCATTTTTCAGCTGCTGTGGTTTTTCTAGGCAAATTTTACATTCAGCAGTTTGTCTTTGCTTTTTGAACAGTCAGCTCTCTGTACCAGTGTCGAAACCAACGCAAGACAAATCGCCCGCAGCTGAGATTGAACCTGGCACCCCAAGCATTACGAAGTGCGTTTGCAACGCCTAAGCCACAGACCCCGATTCTGACCTAGCCAGAACCAACAACACTGCGTGTGCATGAATATAACTGTGTTCTGCCTCTCACCCCCTAATGAAGCACCAGTCCTCAACCATCTCAGCACAACTGCAGTCTCAGGAAGAACATGAAAGATTATAAACAAACGGGAATACAAATTTCAGTAACCGGAAACCATGAGTATTTGTAAGAAAAAGTTCAAAAATTTGTTCTGTAGCCACAAAGAATTTTCAAATGCTACTGCAAGAAGAATTAGTTCATGTTAGAGCATGTTCATTTTCACCAACAAAAATGGTTGAAAAGAAAAAATAACAGTGTGAAAGCACAAATCAATTACTAATAAACTACAAACATTCATATGTCGGCAAAGAATAAAAGACAAATAGTATGACATAACGATTAACTTGGAATTCACAGAATGAACTACACTAAAGTCAAGAGGCGTGAAGCAGATTCTGAGGCCGGATAAGATGCCCACTGAGCTGAACAAAACTTATAATAAAATAAAAAAAATATCCATACACTGAAACGTGAGAATACAATTGCTAAAGTAGTACTCACATAAATTTCTTTTATACCACAAAAACAAAGCCAACAACAATTAACGTAAAATAAGTGCAATAAAATAAAAGCTACACATATAAAGACAAGAAAAGCCAGCAATAAAACACAAATGCTGTTATAAAAAATGTAGAAAAAAAATGTGAGACATAAAAAAAAATGAGTGGCTTATCACACACGCAAGTGTATTTGGTAACCAGTACTCTGTGACTATATATGTGGTGTTATCCTCTCTCCGCAGCAAAATTCATAACGGAAAAATTTAGCACACAATTTATTTGGGTTATCTTCTCTTACCACCATCTCAGGGCCTCCAAGATTTTGCGGGGAATTCCCGGGAATGTCCAACAGTATGGGGAGGTTAGGGTGTGGAATGAACACCAACTGACACTAACCCCAACCTCCCCTCAATATTGGTCTTCACCTGGAATTCCCACAAAATCTCAGAGTCCCCGAGAAGGGCTCACATAACAAGAAAGAATCTTTATTTGTCAATAAAGTACATTAAATGCACTGTGCTGATTAACAGAAAAAAATTAAACCTGTTACAACAACTGCAGAGATGACAAACTGTTCACAAATTTACATTTTTGTTGGGAGCAAATATTTAATTTAACTAACAACCCGTGTTTGTTATCTGATTATTGTTTTGTTATATCTTTTCAGCAAATAAAGCAGTACTTTGAACATAGCATGCACAAGAAGCTGCTTCTTTTCTTCCTTTGTTTTAAGAAGAGTGCTAATTGTAATATCTCTGAGTAGTTTTGACGTTCTTTCTTTAAGAAGGTCATTTCAGTTGTTATTGAATGCTTTCAGATGTGCTTTACAAAACAAACTAGCTGAGAGAAATGAAAAACTACACACACAAAAACTGTTAAAACAATTACTAACAACTATGTCTGTTAACTGATCACTATTTGTTATATCTCTTCATCAGCAAATAAAGCAGTAGTTTGTCTGACCTCTATCACTGGGGCTACTGGGATTTTGATATCAATGTGGCTTTACAAGGGATATTTGGTTAACAAGGATATAATCAGTTCCTGGCCTCCTAAGAAAATGTGCAGGCATGAACAGAACCAATGAAACTACACTAGTAAGAAACAGGACAGCTCACTGCAGACATGATGGTGTTGCCGCCTTAACTTGAAATGTGGCAACGATGTAAATGCCAGGTTTGGCGCTATCTGGGACAACCGGGTTACAGCTTTAATTAAACAGTTTTCAATGTTTCATTTATTTTAATTTATCAACCATGTAAACATATGTTACATTCTTTCATTTTCTGTTGGTGCTACTCAATAAAACAAGAGCAAATTAAATTGAAATTATAACACCAATTAAAAAAGCACAGTAAAATAATCATTTTGTGAACATTTGCTCAGACCAACAATAAAGTGTCTCACAGAAATGTAACCTCACATTAATTTCAACAAAATCCCTACTAATTGTTCTTTTGCTTCAAATAAAGCTAAAATGTTCTAAACTTAAAACTGCAACTGAATTTAAACCTTTTTTTCTAAACAGAAGTTTTTTCAACTCTCTCAAATTTAAAACTTCACAAATGGACACTCTCTCACAGAGGCACTGATATGTCAAACCCTGTCGCTCTGAAGGGCAGATGTGACAGCTCTATCCATTAGGCCTCCTCGGTTGCCTTCAGATGTTCATGCTCAGGGCTGGCAGTGGGTTTGTCGTCAGCTGGCACACTGACTGTCAGGTCGTGGTAGACACCTGCATTACGAGCAGATGACATCTGGATCTGCATCTTCTTCTCTTTGTCCTGCATCCTGAACCTATTTTTTAAAAAAAAACCATCAAATTTTTAGGGTTTGTGAAAAGTCAATAAACTGTACACTTACTATCCACAGGTTCAGAAAAGTAACTATACACTTACTATCTACATGTTCAATGAACAACTATACAATTACTATCTAAAGGTTCAAAAAGTAACTATACACTTGCTATCTACATGTTCAATGAGCAACTATATGTTTACTATCTACAGGTTCAAAGAGTAACTACACTGCCCATATGTGTAATTTTTTTAAATCATCCTGTTTCATTTCATCCACAATCAGTTTCATAACTATATTTGTAAAGCCTTTCCAAAACTTTCCCACTGCAATAAAAGAACATTAGGATCAATGTCATAAAAATGCTAACATTGTAGTTGGTTATTCCATAAAGAAACCATGCAGAGATTGCAGGTGTGCAGCAATACAAATTTTAAAAAAAAAAGAGAGAGCTAAAAACTGCTTCCATGTGGACTTGCATGGACAAGGGAGAGAAAAATTACAGTTTAACAGATACAATCATATAGAATGGGGCCTCCTTGAACACTTGTACAGTAAAATACGCTCTCTACCTGTTATTGGCGTTCACTGTCCCCCAAAAGGCTGCTGCACCGGATTCTAACCCATATGGCTTGGTCTCTCTCAGCAGACGGCAGTGCGTACCGTATTTCCCCAAATATAAGACGATCCCTTTTATAAGAGGCACCTTGATTTCGGGACCAGACAGTGAAAAAATATATATAATTACTTAAAGCAAGGATACCCAAATATGTTTACCCTTTATATTTTTCTGGGGTAAATAAGTGTCTTATAGGTGGAGAAGTACAGTATATATGGTACTAAGTATGACATGATAACAAATGCACACAAGACAGAGTCTACTGTTAATAACTATAATTATACTTACTGCCGTCTTCGCTTGAACAAATACACACCAAGAACAACAGCAAAGCAGACAGCCACTGCAATTATTGCCGCAGCAACAATAGCACCTTCATAAAGGAAAGACCAACAAGAAACTGTGAATGTGAGAGGGATAATAATGCCCCGCTTGTCATAATAAAGTGTTTAAGGTAAGAAATAATACATGCTTGGAAATATAAAAACAAATCTGCATGTTTTTAATTCAAAATCTGGTCACCATTTCTTCTTCTGCATTTGCCCTCACAAGGGCATTTGGCATGTTTTTGTGGTTTACAGCTAGGTTGCGATATCTGTGCCATTAAGCACAACACATCCGATTTCAACAAACCTCTTAATTAATCACTTTTTACAACATGCTTGTTCTGGGGCAGTTGAGAACACATACAGTGACATCATGCCATTTCAAATCTACACTCAGCAGATCTATGTGCCATTTCAAATCCATCTAATTTATTATGTGCCATTTCAAATATTACTCCACAGATAACCAGATTAATGTGACACTTCAAATCTATTATGTGCCATTTCAAATCTATACTCCTCAGATCTATAATGCACTATTTTAAATCCATGCTTTCCAGATAGCCAGATCTAGAATATGCCATTTTAATCTATACTCCTCAGATGGTCAGATCAATAATGAGCCACTTCAAATCGATACTTCTCAAATGGCCAGACCTAGAATGTGCCATTTCAAATCTATACTCCACAGATGGCCAGACCTATAATGTGCCATTTCAAATCTATACTTCTCGGATGGCCTGACCTAGAATGTGTCATTTCAAATTTATACTCCACAGATATCCAGATCTGGAATATTTCATTTTAATCTATACTCCTCAGATGGCCAGACCTAGAATGTGTCATTTCAAATCTATACTCCACAGATGGCCAATTTCTAAGTAATCATTCAATGCTTACCCTCAGCAAATATCAATTTCAAATATATACTCAATATAAAGCTAGTCGCAGTAAACATAACCAAGTGCAAACAGAAAAATACCTGTATTGCCCTTAGGGCTGCTGCTCTCTACTGACGTTGTATTTAGTGTGGTGGTGTTCAAGGTCTCAACTGTTGTGGTACTAGTAGTTGCTGCAGTTGTGGTTGTAGTAAAGACTGAAACATCAAACAAGTGACTACAGTGAAACATGAAGCAATCTTTGTAAAACGTGTGAAAATGTGCTCCCACTACCCAGGCTACTGACCCAGTTTCACTTCCCGTCCGCGCACTAGAGATATATAGACCTGTCCAGTTTACCCTCTTAAAGTTTTTGCCAGGAACTCAGATGAACAGAAATTATTTAGTACATAATAGTCCAATGTAGTCATTGTATAGTTAGTGCACATTTTTGTATGCATGCTATGTTGTCTTTGTTTGTTAATGAAGGCTAACTGCCGCTTTTTTCCAAACATTGTATTTTATTTTGTAGAGCTGACATAAACCATGTGTTTTCTTACCAATTTTTCTTCCCTTCCCTTTAATTTCCTATCCCTTAAAAAACTGCCTATATGTAGTTTCCTCAACTTAGAACCGAGTTTCGTTCAGACAGAATATTAATGTGTGTATACCAGAATTCTCACCATATGTACACAGTTTTCTTGACTTAGAACGAGTTCATTTGGACCAACAGACCATAATCCAAACTGGTCATAAGTCAAATTGATATATTTTTCTTCTTCTTCTTCTTTGCGTTCACCAGCTGTAAACTCTAGCGGAAAGTTCTGGTTGCTCGTCCACTACTGAACTGCAGCCCTGCTCCAGAACCTGAGTGTTGCATGTGCATCAGTTTTACAGATCTCATTCTCTTGAATACAGACTGTTGGTTCCTTGCCTCTCCGGCAGATGCACTCCGTCTTCAAAGGAAGCTCCCCAATTAGTCGACTCTTACGATATGCTTTTGGGGAGGCAGTGGGTCTATTCTTGTTTTCCCCACAATGGGGCCCCGGAACCCACACGGGGGAAATATATATATATGTTTTTTTGTTTGTTTTTTTCAAAGCTGTTCACGAGTCAGACAGCTACAAACTGGTATGGTTATTATTATAAAGGATACCAGCCTCCTGATTTACGTTTTCTGACAGAAGGATCAAAGAAGCAGAAGATTATTATTATCAAAGCCATGTGGCAAGGAATAGACATATATACTGACACACAAGGGAATAAAGATACAAAGATGTCCACAAGAAACATAAATGCTGAGATCAATGTTGTTGACAGATACAGGCCAAGAATGCTGGATTGGATACCACCCATGATATTATATTGAGGGGATTGCGACTGCAGAGGATAGAGATTAGAGATAGGGAGCTCTGCATGAATGACATACAGCTATAACAAATATGCAAGTGTGTGTGAGTGAGGTCAATAAAACTCTGATCAAAATATCTTCTTACTTAATAAATAAAAAATCAATGCAGTTATTACAGTAACATCAAACTTGCTTATAATATCTGCCTAGGCCTGAGCTCAAAATTATGGAAATCATAAATCTAATCTTATCAAATCGGCTACTTCTTCCAAACCAACCCAATTACAAACCTTTATGAAATGATACAATATACTAAACAGAATTCGTAGCCAAATTCAACAACTTTTTTCAAGGGTTCTGAAGGCTTTTGAAGGTATTTTGCCTTGTTCGTGCACATAGATAATGTATTTTTTACATCGTTTTATAGATCTGGTGGCGCAGGGGAGGGAAATTAAGTTCTGTCTGCTCTAGACCTGGCACCTGAAAGAGATTTGATTTGATTCAAGAACCGACATCACAGCACTTGGGGCATTCCCATAAGCTCCTCTCCTCATGTTCCCAAGGATGCAAACCTGTCTGATTGTGTCTTCTGCCTGAGCCATTCATGACCTCCCTCTTATCAGCCGCTGACCCTTAACTGCACCCAGAGTTTCATGCAGAGGGTGGTCTGTGTCTGCAGCTACCCTGAGATATGACTTCGCCTGCAGCACCTTGTGCCTACCTGGAACCGTCGGCGAACCAAGGATGTATCGCATACAAACCACTGGGGTGTCTCTGGTGCAACCCAGAATGACCCGCATAGCCGCGTTCTGTATGCGCTCTAGTTTGTCCATCTGACTCTTTGAGATGGTAAGCAGTCCCAGGCCATAATCCACCACTGACAGGATCAGGTGTTGATATAGTGTAAAAGGCATTCTCTGCTCTATGTCAATTGCAGCCATAGTCTCAAGTGCACTAAGTCCTTTTTGGCCATAGTCTCAAGTGCACTAAGTCCTTTTTGGCATCTCGTCACAACACTCTCCACATGGTTCTTAAATGACAGGCTCCTGTCAAATGTAATTCCTAGATATTCAGTTTGCTCTCTCTGTTGATGTTTCTACCATCTATCGTGAGACTTGGGACATTAGCTTTAACAATTCTGTTGTTCAGAGAACACCACAAAACAGACACCTTTTCCGGGTGCATGACAGCCCTCATTTTTGTACACCAGTCAGTCCCAGGCTGTTTGTTCCCTCTCTTCCCCCTGCCTATATGCAAGTATATCATCCAAAAAAGTCAGTATCCTTCCAACTCCTGGTGCTTTTAGGCTTACAATCTTGCTTGTATACACGTTAAAGAGCACAGGCGAGATGGCGGATCCCTGTGGCAGTCCTGGGGCCAAAGTGCATGGTTCTGAGGTCCATGAGCCCAGTCGGAGAGCAACCCGACGTGAATACAGGACAGCTGCAACCTAATTCACCAGCCATGGACTGACCTCCTCCTCCTTCAGTACAGTCATTAAGATGTCGTATCTCACTCTGTTATAAGCATCCTCGAGATCCAGTCCTACTGCCATAGTTTCCTGTCTGTTCTGAAACCCTTCATAGACGTCAAAAGCAAAAGTGGCCGCATTTGCCCAAGTGTCCTTTCCTGGCCTGTAGCTTCCCAGACCTCTTGGGAGAAGCTTCCCCCTTTCCAAAAATTCTTGTAACTTTACAGCAACTATCTTCTCCAAGACTTCCCAAATGTGTTTTGTTAATTTTGTAAGGTGATGATTCTAAAGCCCCTGGGAGGGGTGAGAGGAAGGCAGTGACAGAGTGAGGGGGAGCAGGTAGGGAGAGACGACAGAGAGTGAAGTAAACAAACAATAAATCGATCTCATTCTCCGCCGGCGCTCTTTCCCAGTTAATTCCTGGAAAAATTCTTAAAATTTACAGTGCTAATTCAACCGTGCCTACCGGCCCGCGCAACAACAAAAAAAACTGCGCCATTTTCCTAAGCGGCAAGCCCATGCATCATTCTTAAATAATTTATAGTGCACTAAGTACTGCTACACATGTTTACATACAACTGTTTTTCTACAGCCATCATCACTTACTTTCAAAAAGAGTTGAATCTTCTGTATGTACTGTATCAGTATCAACATGGGCCTCCATGTCGGCATCTTGTGCCCCAGCCATCAAGCTCAGCTGTGAAACAACCAACAGACTCAACACCACCCATGTTTGTACCGTCATCTTGCCGGCGAAATTTCTGCAAATCATCTTGATCAGTGCCATTAATTCACTTCCCATTCTGCAGCGGTAAAGACGAGGCGTCGAAAAATCGTTGGGAAATCTGCGTGGAGACTAAAACAGAATAGTTCCAGGCGCGACAAATTGCAGTCTTTGTGTAACTGCCCGGCACAAATAACAAACCTTGCGGCATTGATCGCTGACGTCACTTCCGCCTGTTTAGTCATCCTCTGAGTAATGATTTGTGTTACTCACCTTTTTTTAGATAATGTATGTATGTAATTCAACCCCACAAGAAGTGTAAACCAAGCGACCAACACCAGGTGACACAAAGTGCCACCATTCAGATGAGGACCACGCGGACACAAGTCTCAGAAACCCCGTTGAGTCATTATATTTTATTAGGGCCCTGGACTAAAACCAGGGTCATCATCATGTAGCAGGTCCTTTGCAGAACGTCGCTCTCATCACAGTCTGCCTGTAAGAAACTCGGTCTCTTGCCAGTTCTCCCGCCCCATGAACTTTCACACTCAAGGAGTCACTTATATCCTTTGCCCATCTTTGTGTCGGTCGGCCCCTGCTCCTCCTTCCTGGCACCAAGCCTTCTGCTATAATTTTTTCCAATCCGTCGTGGCGCTTGATATGACCAAAATATTTCAGCTTTCGAGAAAGGATGCTGTTTATTAGCCAATCTTCCTTGATGTTCAGATCTTTTAAGATGTCAATATTTCTCATCTTCTTTGTCCAAGATATTAAAACCAGGGTGGGGCTTTGAAATAACGAAATAACTGTGTCCCGTACTGACACGGAATTAATTGTTCTCTTTAGATAAATCCTTCGTCATAATTTCAACCTTTAGGCTGTCGGGGAACTTCTTGTTAATCCTTGTCTGCGTTGATAGAACTGTTGACAGAACAGAAATGGAGTTGTTAGCTTCAAAACACTTTGAGACATACCCAGGAGAAGATCAGAGCATTTATGGTCATATCCGATGTGCGATGAAGATGATCTTCAAATGAACAATAAAAATGTAATTAATTAAATTGTTTCGTATTTCTACTTCCAGTATTTGCCCACCTGAGTTGATGTTGAAATAAGAACTGACATCACAGCAGTCAGGACATTCACATAAGCGCTCCGCCCTCATCTTCAACAGCCAGCGAAGAGTTCCAATTCCAATGGTGCCAGAGCAGTGTATTTATATGTCCGTCTTACTTTTCTTCTGAGTGTAGGGTGTCGACCAGATCCCTGGTCATGTAGAGCTGTACCATTTTGACCAGACTATAACGATCAAGAGTGATTTGTACGTTTTCTTTTCTTCCACCTTGTACCTCAGCGAAGTGTCGGGGGAAGATCTAACATTCGTTGATGAGCTCTGTCAAGAGCACTATCATTGCTCCGTCCTCATCTTCACTAGCCAGCGAAGAGTTCTAATTCCAATGGTGCCAGTAGATTTGTACAAGGAACAAATAATGCTTTAGAATTAAGTTTAAGGATCCTCGACTGGACTTCAGAGTGCAATGCAGGGGCAATGACATACCCCTGACCTCAACACAATGTGGAATCCAGCCCACCATGCTCAGTTGCCTTTACAATGCCTTCTGCTATGTTCAGGGTTTTCTTCCCAGTTAGTTACAAACTGGGACCTGTTCGCGTTTCTAGACCCATCTAAACACTTTCTCAGTCTGATCTAGCTCAGAGGGGTGTCACATTCTTCGAGGCGGGAAAGGGGTGGGGGGGGGGATTAGGGCCAGTTCTACAAGTTTAAAGCTGTGTCGTCGCGTAGTATAGAAGTTGAACACGCGACATCGGCGTTGATGTAATTGGAGGGAAGACATCGTGACACCCATCCGACGTATATCTAAGAGTCTGAGAAAGTATTAATGAAAGGTCAGATTATGTGTAGATGGGCCTGGAAAGTAAACAGGACCAAACCTGTATAAAAATTACTTCTGAACTGTCTTTTTAAATTCTCGATACGTAGCAAACTTTTTCACACATGTGATCAATGTGTGTGATGTCAAAGATGATACTGTAATATATTACATCCGTAGTATCAAACATAATCCTTTTCTTATCCTCGCTTATAAGTGTGATAAATTCTTGTCTGGTAGGAGACAAGCGTAAGTATATCACCTGTCTGTGACTGGCCTGTCAAGGCTTCTCAGAAGGCTTCTCTAATTTGATCAAGTGTTACTTTAGAAGCGGAAGTACTGGATCATTCTTTGATTGCAGCTCAATTAGACGTAACAAATTTTCTCATTCAGATAACAAATGCACTTTATGACCTCGGAATGAGAAATTTCTCTGAGCCAAAAAAAAAAAATAATGTTACATTTAAGACCCCCCCCCCCCATTTGTATGTTTCTGCAAAATCCTGGCTAATTTTATCAAAATACGTCATCATTTCTGCTGTCATGGAGATTCTTGATCATTCCATAGTTGTTAAAATCAGTGTCTTAGTTGGTGGAACCATTTGTTTTTTTCTTCTTTGCGTTCACCAGCTGTAAAAATCTGGTGGAAAGTTTTGGTTGTCCGTCTACTTCTGGACTGCAGTCCTGTTCCAGAACCTGAGTGTTGTGTGTGCATCCGTGTGACAGATCTGACACATTTGTGTGCAGACCGTTGGTTACTTGCCTCTCAGGCAGATGCACTCCGACTTCGAAGGAAGCTCCCAGTTAGTCAACTCTTACGACATGCTTTAGGACAGGCAGTGGGTCTACTCTTGTTTTCCCCACAATGGGGCCCGGGGACCCACACAGGAAAGACCATTTGTTTTGAGAAATGTTGCTGTTTTTGTGTGTGTCCTTCTCTTCTGCCATTTCCCACCTGAGATTAAACATTCTCTGAGTAATGATTTTACTCAGATTTTTATCAGGCTTTTTTTTTCTTTAGACAATGCTTTCTCATCCCCCTAATCATTTCTGCCCTTGGCTGCCAGGAAGCTTCTGGGTCGTTCAATAGTTGTTTGCTCCTGAAGAAAAAGAAATTTTTGCTAATGTACACAAGGAATTCTTTGTCTGTGATGATTAAACTATTTTTTCTTGTTCTTCTCTACTCCTGTTCAGCCTTGCAGCATCAGGTTTTGGTAAGACCTCGGATGCCAGCCTTAGTATTTGCTACAGACATGCCGGTATTTACAGTCTCGGATATTCCATCTATCATTCCTTGCATGGTCTACCTCTGCTTCCGCTATGTCTCTTGATGCAGTTTAGCACCGGTTCTCTTCCAACTTCTTACCTGATATTGTCATTTCTGACCCTGTTTTTTCTAGTTACATTTAGGAATCATCGTAGGCATTTTATTTCTGTTGTTCCGATTTTTCTTTTGTTGTCAGTGTCCATGCTTGGCACCAGTAACACAATGCTGGTAAAAATACTATATTGAATATGTGTGCTCTTTTGGTATCAATTGTTATAGATTTTTTGTTCTGCAAAAGTTGGGACATTTGTCGAATGATTTTATTTATTACATCTCTGCTTATATTTTCCCACTAGATCAGTTGTTCTCAACCTTCCTAATGCCACGACCCTTTAATATAGTTGCTCATGTTGTGGCGACCCCCGTAACGATACAATTATTTTCGTTGCTACTTCATTGAATTTGTGTTTACCGATGGTCTTAGGTGACTTTTGTGAATGGGTCGATTGATCCAGGTTGAGAATCCCTGCACTAGATGATATTATGCTCCTTAGATACTTGGAAGTCTTTTGATTGTTTCAGATTTTGGTTTTCTATGCAAATCTTGATTAGTCTGTCAGGGAACTTTGCTCTATCGCTTAAGGCATTAGGTTCTATTAGGTTTTCTTTCCATTTTGTTCGATCTCAGTATCTATTTCCCTCTCTTCTAGTGGTGTGTGCTTTGTGTGGTATGGCGTTGCAAGGCATTCTCTTAGTGGTCAAACCATTTAATTGGCTGTGTTTGTATGTAATTTAATATTAATTGTATGCTGAAATCAAAAGTGTTAAGCGAAAAGAATTAGATACCACAGCCTAGCTGTAAACCACAAAAGAATAGGCCAGCTGCCCTTTTAAAAATGAAAACAGAAAGAATCAACCTTTTCCAGACACTGGTTGTTAGTTAACCTGGCAGTCCAAGGTATCTGGAATAAAGAACCCCTTTTCACACTTTTAAGGCATACAGGGCTAGACCTGTTCGGCACTCGGCAGGTGATGTGGATAACATCACGCTGGCCACCCTAAATTCCCAGGACTTTACATGGCTCCATTTGGACCTAAATCCATGATCTTCGGATTCATAGGCGAGCAATTAGCCTCAACACCATGGTGGCTTCCCAAGCCAATTTGTAATATTAAATGAAGAATTTGACCCCCCCACCCCCAAAAAAAATATATATTTAAAACAAAAGAGCAAACAAACCATAAGGAAAAACATATTTTATTATGTGGAAAACTCTGAAGTTTCCATTTACTCACGAGTGAGTGAACAATGAGTCTGAAACAATTACACATGAATGAGTGAACAATGAGTCTGAAACAATTACACATGAATGAGTAAACAATGAGTCTGAAACGATTACACATGAATGAGTAAACAATGAGTCTGAAACAATTACACATGAATGAGTAAACAATGAGTCTGAAACAATTACACATGAATGAGTAAACAATGAGTCTGAAACAATTACACATGAATGAGTGAACAATGAGTCTGAAACAATTACACATGGGAGAAAGAGTGAATTCACTGCCAAATAAAACAATACTACATCTCTGCTCAATAGTTTGTGTGACAATGAAGTAGCCAACAGTAGAAAACTCACCAAAGTCTCATAAACCTAAAAACACTTCAATTTACTCCTCACACTGACACACACCTGGCATCACTTACAACTAAACAAAAAAAAAAAAAATGAAAACTTAGTTTCACAAATATATTTTAACAGATGATTACAAAACCTACTCTGTAAGTGGCTACACCTTGATTTTGCAAAATATATGTACGAAGAACAATTATCTACGTGCATTCTTAGACAAACAATATGTCATAATGGCTTGATATGAAAAAATAGACTTCATAATCAATCTCTGGAACTAACTATGAACAATTTTAATATCATAAGAGTTGCCCTGATAGCATTTTCTGACAAAAATACTTAAAACCATTGCGACAGAGCCGAAGTACTGAATTCTATCCCATGCGACAGAGCCGAAGTAGTTAATTCTATCCCACGTGACAGAGCCGAGGTACTTAATTCTATCCCATGCGACAGAGCTGATGTACTTAATTCTATCTCATGCAACAGCAGCAAAAGTGTAAAAATCTTCATTTTCAGGAAATGAGTTCCATGATTGATGTCTTGAATGTTTGGACAAGCAAATTAAAATGTACTGACCAACACTCTTCTTCTTCTTCTCTTCCACCTTGTACTTCAGTGAAGTGTCGGGGAGGGGGGGGGGGGGGGGGGGGGGGGGGTAACGTTCACTGATGAGCTCTGTCAAGAGCACTATTAAGATTGATGTTCACTTCTGTAAGGCTGTTCTTAATGCTATCACTTCATATTTTCCTAGGTCTTCCTCTCACTCTATACCCGTTGTAAAGTTTTAGTGTGGATCGCTGTGGCAGATAGTACCAGGGCATTCTTGTTAGGTGTCCAAATCACTTCATTTGTTGTTCTTTGATAACCTGTAAGACTGGCTTTATTCCTAGCATTTGTCTGATTTTGTATTCTGTCTTTCCTTGAAACTCATGCAGCTCTTCTAAGGCATTTCATCTCTGTTGTCACAATTTATGTTCATTAAAGGATGTAGGTGTCCACGTTTGGCACTGATAGCATAGTAATGGCCAAAAAATAGTTTTGATAAGATTCACTTTAGTACTCTGGGGTATCTGCTTGAGTGTCAAAAGGGGAAATAGTTGCCCCAGTACCTGATTAGCTTTGGCACATCTTGAGGTAATTTATCTGTCCAGTTTTCCATCAGATGTGAAAATTGCTCCCAAATACTTGAATTCCTCCGTTTTTCTTAAGGTGTTGTTTAACTTTATTTTTAAATTGTGTTTCTGTCTTCCTATCACCATTGTCTTTGTCTTCGTAGTGTTTATTCTCATTTTATATTCCTCCCCTTTGTTATTAATTGGATTTAGGTGGTTATGTAGGCATTCCGTACTGACTGACACTCACGGATGCAAAAGAAAGAGGTAGATGTAATAATCAAAAGCTATAGCCACCACAGCGGAAATTAAGTGTGCATACATACGGTTTTAGATTTTTATATTGGCTATTTATTTCTACTGCTATTATCTATTATCACTATTACTTTTTTCGCTCCTTCACCGATTGTATTTTCTTCATTCAACTTCATCTTTTTCTCTTCCTATATTTTAATAATTCTCATGACTTCCTCGTGGTTGCAGTACTTTGCCCCTTTTCACTGTTGTGCAGTTCATATCGAGAAAGGCTCCGACCAAAATGTCAATTTGTCTGTTGTGTGCACACTGTTCCCTTTTATAAAGCTTTTTTAGGATTAATTTTTTTTAAATATCATGTTCTCCAATTTCTATTTCTGTAATCTGTAAGCGCCAATCAGTGCATTACAAATAGTTCATCATACTATTTTAACAGCCTCAAAGGTTTCCCCAGGAACATATTCCTGAATCACAATTTGTCTGGCAAAGAATTACTTTGAAGAAGAGAAAAGGCAACGAAACAGCAGTGAGACATGATTTTATGTTGTGCCTCCTTGGGAACCGTTGTCTGCTGACGTGTCATATTCTCCATAGCCAGCACCATTGGTTACATTAGCTGCGCTTGAGGCAAAGGGGCCGAGGCCATAAAGGTGTCCCGAATATTTCTCTCTTTCAATGTTGTTTTCAAAATACAACTGTGGAAAAGGCAATTAAAACTGTAACACAAAGAATACTTGAGGAGTATGATCAAGTTATCTTCTTCTTCACATTCACCGGCTGTAAACTCCAGCGGAAAGTTCTGGTTGTTTGTCCACCTCTGGACTATAGTCTTGTTCCAGAGATGAATTTTGTGTGCACATCCATTTAACAGATCTGACTGAACCTTATGCAGATTGTTGCTTCCTTGCCTCTCAGGTAGATGCACTCCGACTTCGAAGGAAGCCCCCAGTTAGTCAACTCTTAAGACATGCTTGCTGGGGAGGCAGTGGGTCTATTCTTGTTTTCCCCACACTGGGGCTGATCAAGTTATAATGTCGACTCTTTGTTCGCTCCTGAAGAAGGGGATGGAGCAAGTATGAGAATGCCCATAATGCAATGATGTCAACTCTTCATTTGTTTATAATGATGAACCCTAGTATTTATCAGTATTATTTGTCTATTTCAACTGGGTCAGGAGGGAGTATACAGATGTCATAGGAGATAACCTTCTTCTTTACGTTCCCTGGCTGTAAAATATGGCAGAAAGTTCTGGCTGTTCATCCACTTCATGACTTTGGTCTTGTTCAAGAACTCAGTTTTGCATGCACAGCCGTTTTAAAGACATGGTTTATTTGTAGGCAGACTGTTGGTTCCTTTCCTCTCAGGCAGATGCACTCTGACTGAAGGAAAACCCACAATTAATCATTTCCTATGATATGCCTGTTACGGAGTCAGCGGGTCAAATCCCCCCCCCCCCCCACAAAATGGGGCCTCAGAACCTACACAGGGAAGAAGAGATAAACGAGAGCTACCCCTTCTTGTCTGGTTAACATGATAGAGGTTTGGTTAAATGAATAGTTAGTTGGCTGCAAATTCTCTATAACAGCAGTTCCCATTTAGCTCAGGCCTCAGCCCCCTCCCACCCCTCACCTCTCCCAGCCCCCCACCATTTTTTAAAGGTCCGCCAAAGACCACATACTTTTTAATAGTCACTTTTCCCCCGTGTGGGTTCCGGGGCCCCATTGCGGGGAAAACAAGAATAGACCCACTGCCTCCCCAAAAGCATGTCGTAAGAGTCGACTAATTGGGGAGCTTCCTTTGAAGTCGGAGTGCATCTGCTGGAGAGGCAAGGAACCAACAGTCTGTATTCAAGAGAATGAGATCTGTAAAACTGATGCACACGCAGCACTCAGGTTCTGGAGCATGACTGCAGTTCATTAGTGGACGAGCAACCAGAACTTTCCACCAGAGTGTACAGCTGGTGAACGCGAAGAAGAAGAAGAATAGTCACTTTTTAAAAGAGAAAAATGTAAATTTATTGCAAAAATGATTGTATTCTTTTTTTCTTCTTGTTCACCGGCTGTACTATGGCAAAAAATGTAGGCTGTTCCTCCACTTCTGCCTTCTTCCAGAACTTGAGTTTTGTCTGCACATCTGTTTTGACAGATCAAGCCTGTTTTTTTTTTTTATGCAGACTGTTGGTTCCTCGCCTCTCAAGCAGATGCACTCCAATTTCGAAGGCAACACCCGAATTATTCGACCTTTACAACATGTCAGGGGTGCAGTAGGTCTATTAATTGTCCTTACCATGGTGGGGTCCCGGAACTGAAACACGATAAAACATGACTTCTTGAAGTCCATGCTGTGTGGCATTTGTAGTCACATCTATCCACAACCTTCTGTTTCACTCATGTACTTTAAATCAACTCTGATACAGATAACCTTCCATGCTATGATGTCTGACTGTTCAGCATCTTCTTTTTTGGTCTGCCTCTTTTCCCCTCCAACACAATGTACTCCAGTTTTCTCCTTCTCAGGATATAACCAAAGAATGTAGATTGTCTCTTTCTGATGTGGGCCAATTTCTTTCAAGGCATCTTAGTACTCTTTTTATCAGTCCAGGGTATTCTAATCACTCCTTTATAAAACCACACATCTGCAGCTTCCAAAATTTGTTTCATTAGTCTACCAACTGCCCACGATTCACTTCCGTACATCAGGATAGGATTTAAACAGCTTTTGAAAACTCTCCTTCTTGTCTCAATTGATAAAGAAAGATTGCATAGAACATTCTTCATTTGGTAAAATACTGCCTCATGACATGGCTATAAGAAGAAACAGTGAAGTCGTCCATACTAGAGACAACATTGCAGATATAGATAATCTACTTCAAGTCAACGAAAAGAAGAAGAAATTTGAGTGTACTCGCCTTAATGGGGGGGGGGGGGGGGGGGGGGGGGGGGGGTGGGGGGGGGGGGGGGGGGGGGGGGGGGGGGGGGGGGGGGGGGGGGAGGGGGGTTACCTCTCTCATCTTGAAGAATGCCATTCCTGTGAGAAGACTGTCACTACCTGCTTGGTGTTGTGGCCCCAGTCGCTTGATCTGATAACAGATGACATACTTATCATAAACGTCATGTGCATGCTGGCAACACAATTAATAAAACAATATTTTAATTCCCCTTCAGCGACCACTGTCTGTTATGTATCTATTCCAATACGAGTCACAAACAGGTTGGTGCACTCAAGGGCTTCACCGGTGCCACATACTTTGTCTTGTAGGATCAATCCGGTGGGCCAGATTTTTCTCTCTCAAGAATGGCAAAGCAGCGGCTGGTCAAATGGCTAAGAACGCCGGGCTTTCATTGGGAGACCCAGGTTTCTTTCGCTTTTTCGTTCATCCAAGTGACAAAAAGGCACTGTGCCTGTTTACAGTGAAACTGCAATTTTTGCAATTTTCGGCAATATATAACTTTATATAACTTAATCGAGCATTTGTTTACTGGGTAAACTTCCCAGACAGTTTTGAGAATGGCTTATCCTTATTTGTGTGGTGCTCTCTTCGTCTTCTTACTCACAGATGTTGCCACTGGACAGCCTGCCCAGGACATTCATGTGCAGGCTGGTCGGCCCTCAAAGGAATGCAGGGGCAGTTAATGGGCATTCCCCTCCATTATAGGAGGCTTCCATAGATGCGCAGCCCACCCATGACGCTCTGGTCCTGGGCTCACCAAAGGAACTGTCATGTCCTGCACACGACTGTTCAATCTGAAATCTTTATGCTGAGCTTTCTACTTATAACGGACTACACCCTTCTGTGATTTATGCCTGCGCACTTCCGCCACCCTTTTCTAAGCCTGCATTACCATAATCTACTTGTCTGTCAATTTATTCAACATATGAAGTTATGCCTGTATTATTGTTGTCACTGTTGTGTACTAACCTGCAAATAATCAGACACTTCTTGCAAGCCACCCTTGAGATCTTTACAAGACTTCATGAGATACTTCACGTCATAGATGTCAGGACAGTGTAGACGCAGCTTTGCAAAAAACTCCTCGTCATCTTCCTCCAGATCACTGTTCTGAAGCATCTTGATGAAATAGCCAAAGTCATAGCCACTGGAAAAAAAAACCACACCAAAAGTAGAGTTCTTTCTTTCTCCTAGTGTTCACCAGCTGTAAACTCCACTACTGGACTCTGGTCTTCTTCTTCTTTGTTCACAGGCTGTAAAATCCGACTGAAAGTCATGACAGTTCATCCATTTGGATTCTGCCTTTGTGCCAGTGCTACAGTTTTGCGTGTACATCCATTTAACTGGTTTTTCCTTGCCGCTCGGGTAAATGCACTCCGACTTCGCAGGAAATCCTCAATTAGTCAATTCCTATGACATGCTTGTTTGGGGTGGGGGGGGGGGGGGGGGGTGGGGGGGGGGGGGGGGGGCGGGGGGCAGTGAGTCAATTTTGTTTTCATCGCATCTGATTCTGCGTGCATTTCTGTCCTACAGATCTGGTGTTGAATGTTGAATTAAGAATCGAAATCACAGCACTCTGGACACTCCTATAAGTGCTCCGTCCCTGTCTTCAGCAGCAAATGAAGAGTTCCAATGCCGATGACACCAGTAACCATCTGACTGTACATCCGTCTCATCCTTTCCCTGCGTGTTAAGCGTCTGCCAGATCCCCTGATAACTCCTCGCAGCGCCATTCTCCTCAGACTGTAATGATCTATCTGCGCCTCCGCACTGTTCACTCGCTCCCAAAGGGCCTTCACAAAATCTTGCTTGTCATACATCAATTCCAGGCCAGTCTATCTTCCTGCTCACTTCCCAAAACACCGGCATACCCTGGAGAAAATATCAAAAGGATGCTAACTACCAGGGACCTCTAAAGTAATACTTGCCACTCTGCATACTCTGTCAGTTACAGTCAGGGCATGTATGAACAGCTGATACTCAAGCCAGCGGAAGGCAGCAAAGACTGCCTCCACAACCATTAGATCTGATGTATGTGTATGCAGACTCTCATTTCCTCGCCTCACGGATGCATTCTGGCTTAGAAGGAAACACCACTATAACATTTATATCAATTTCTATAACATTTGGGGGTAAGTTTATTCCCCCCCCCCCCCAATAGGGTCCTAAAATCTAAAAAGGGAAATAGTCGAGTTTAAAATTTTTTAATGAGATTTACAGTTTTCCCTGAGTGAGGCGTGACTGAGGGGTTGTGGGATTTATCTCAGACTGTAAATGTAGTAAGATCTCCTGTTCTTGTCTGTGAAGAGATGGCCTGCATCTTATGTTGTGGTTTAAAGCTAGGCTGTAATATCTGCACCTTTCAGTCTAACATATCCAATCTCAACAAACACATCATTTGTTTCCTGTTATGACATGCTTGATAAGACGCTTGAGTCTATACCCTATTTCCCAAAACATTACCGGGACTCTGAAATCCACACGGGGAGTACGATGTTCAATTTCCAGTACAAGGTTGGAATCTACAATATCTAATGGTGATAAATGATATCAGACATTCTTCTAATCTCTACGGTAGTGAACTGGATAACTGGTTTTCTCACAGATGGTGGGATGGGGAGAGGGTGTGGGGGGTTTGTGTGTGTGCACATCTCTCTCTTCCCCTCCCCCCCCCCTACAACAGAAAAAAAATCCCATCCCTTACAGAGAATCAAACCCGGGTCTCCCGCATGACAACCTAGTGAAGTATTTGTTATAAATCAAAGTAAACAATAAAATACAAAGCAAACAAACCTATGAAAAGAGAGGAAAACATTTGGTTGAAGAACGACACCGGCTCCGATCAGTTCTGCTGCAAAATCAAAGGGATCCATGCCGTCTTTCTCATGGCGCTCAAACTGGATGCCAGATTTCCGCAGCAGTTCGATGGATTCTTGAGCATACATATCATCTCTGCAGTGAAAAGGAAAAAGGACATATTAAAAAAAAAAGGTTCTTAATTTATAACGTACCCCAAACACGAAATTCCAGTGGGAAATCCACAGCTGACCTGACAGTCCATTATTTCAAGGGGTGCAAGTGTGCTGTTGTGTGGGGCTGATTTTGAGTGTTCATCTAGTGTATTCTAACCCTAAACTTTGCTGTAGATAAATCGCGAGAAACTACAACCTGAACACCCTAGAATTTAGTGGGAATATCTCCTGTGACGTTGATATGATAAGATGTGCATTTAATTATAGATTAAAAAGCACATTCTGACCAAAACCTATCTCCACACTTTATTTCTTTTGTTGCGAATCTCCTGTCTTCCTCTTTTTAATCACGTATTACTGTTATATAGGGAGTGGGGAGGTCCTGCCATATACTCAAGGCGGCGTGACCTGAAAAAATGTTGAGACACTCGCAATGCAACTTAAAGAAGGGCAGACTACCAGGGAACACTATTTTTATGACACCGCCTTGACCTCAAATTCTTCCTTGCAAATATGCTCCGTCGCGAAGTTGTGCTCCCGTATGCTCTTTTTTGAAACCTTGCACGTGACACAACTCAGAGCTAGCACTAACTTTTTATACACATGTATGCATCTCTCTGTCGGCTTTGTGGCTAAGTCGATGCAAACGCTTCGTAATGCCGGGTTCTTTTGCGTTCGACATCAGTCATGCTAAACATTGAGTCCCGTCTGGGTCACAAATAGGATTGTGCTTTTAATGTCGCCACCGGTCCCCCATAGCTTCTCTTGCAATGTGGCTCCTTTGGGCCAGATCCACAGTCTTTGCTGGGAGAGGTTATGGCAGTACTGCAGTATGTGCTCAAGGGTCTGTCTTTCTGCTCCACAATCACAGGCTGCAGATTTTTTTATGCCTATCCTGTACAAGTGTGCTCGAAGACCACAGTGTCCAGTCCGAAGTCTAATGCCGGGTTCGATTCCAACTGCGGGCCATACGCCTTGCGTTGGTTTCGACAGTGGTATCAAGAAAGCCGACCGTCCAGAAAGCAATGGCAAACTACTGGACGTAAATTTGCCTAGAAAAACCACACAACAGCCAGGGACTGTAGGAGTCCTGTAAAGGATATGCAACTAACCTCTCTCTCTCTCACACACGCACACTCTCTGAAATTTACGAGAAAGAAAAATAAAAGAGAGCGGAAACTCTACCCTAAGCAGAATTTGAAGTTGAACTGCCACGTGGAGATTGGCTTGGCTCGGTTGCCGTTTTCGTCGAAAAATGTAAACCCAATTTGAATTATCTTCAGCAAGTTTACATTGCACTTCATCTGGTGGTATGTGTATTCTTGCGTAGATCTGAACTCTCCAATCGGCCTAGCAACCACTCCTGGGAATTCTGTGTCCTGAAAGCATAAAACATAGTATTTTTTTTAGAGGAGGTTTAATTTACAAACAAGTTTAACATTATAACATTTGTATTATGTCATTAATATATCACATTCATCCCACTGTGTCCTGTGCAACTTTTTCAACCTTATGGTTGGAATGCAGTTTAGCTCCTTTAGCCTTTCTCATCATTTGTTTTAGGATTGTCTTTTAGACACCATCATTTCCCTAATCAATTTCTGCCCGTTTGATGATTCTGTTTGCTTCTCCTCAAGACATACTCAATATACCTCCTTATCTTCTTTTTCTTCGCATTCACTGGCTGTAAACTCCGGCAGAAAGTTCTGGCTGTTCATTCATCTCTGGACTTTAGATTTATTACAGAACCCGAGTGTTGCGTGTATGTCCGTTTTACAGATCTGACATATGTATGCAGAATACTGGTCCCTTGCCTTTCCGGAAAATGCACTCCGACTTCAAAGGCAACTCCCAATTAGTTGACTCTTACGACCTGCTTGGTAGGGAGGCAGTGGGTCTATACTTGTTTTCCCAATAATGGAGCCCCGGAACCCACACGGGAATACATCCATATATATATATATATATATATATATGTGTGTGTGTGTGTGTATTTGTCTGTGTCTGTAGATATGTATGTATGTGTGTAGAAATATGAATAGGGGTAATCAATAGGCACAAACATAGTAAAGCAGTAAATGGAATATATTTCTGGGAACTAAAACAAATATGCATCATGTGACTCCTGCCATGACCCTATAACCTCAACCACTGAGGTTTATAGGAAAAATTTTATCAGCCTGGCTTTTAGAAAAAGCTACTGGATTCATAAGTGCAACCCCCTTAAATGCTTTATATATATATATTCCAGATATATACATATATATCCAAGCAACTAGATTTAGTCTTCTTGGGGCTATAGGGTTAAAAAATTAAAAACTGTTTTGGCTGTACTTTTTCCCCCCAGCAGATTAGTTCTTCTTTAGCCTTGAGGTTTACTGCCAGAGGTATCATCTTCCTGAATTCATCATTGTAACCGGCATTCTCTTTCCACTTGTTGACTCTATGTGCTTTTGGATCTGGTTGTATATTATCTTCTCATTACCTTCTTGATCTGCCGTGTGGCCTACTTCCATTCACCTCTTTTGTGTACGCAATGTCTGTCTCTCTGTTACCTGCCATTCTCTCTACATGCCCTAACTACTGCAGTCTACTAGCCTTCAAGTTCTTCTTCTTAGCATTCACCATCTGTAAACAACAATTTGTCTCCTTCTAAACTTCGGTCTTGTTACAGAACACTGTGCAGAGTTTTACATGCACATCCATTTTACAGATCTGGCTTGTTTATATGCAGACTGCTGGTTCCTTGCCTCTCAGGCAGATGCTCTCCAACCTAAAAGAAAACTCCCCTAATTAGCACTTTTACAGCATACTTGCGAGGGAAGAAGTGAGTCTACCCACCTACCCTTCACCCCTTTTTTTCTCCCACTTCCTCTCCAATAATGAAGCCTCGGAACCAGACGGGTAATGAGTTTTCATGATGTCAAAGCAATTAAAAAGTTTTACCCTATTTTGGACACAGGAGAGCAAGTCATTATTCCCTGCCTTTAAACAGGGCACAATCGACCTTGCAGCCACATGCACACAAAATTGAAGATAGGTGAGTTAGCAAATGATGTATGTCAAAAGTGGGGAGGCCATCTTCAAACTGTCAATATGACATTACCATGTTCGTCTGCAACAAGAAGTCATGAGCAATACTTCTGGCCAAAAGAAACACATGTGGAAGAAAAACTTTATGGGTTGCTAAGTGAATTTAAAAAAGACAGCAAAGTTCATGCTAGCGACAACACTGCAGATATAGATAATCTATTTCAAGCGAATTAAAGAAGAACTAAAACAGTTCTAAACTCATGCACAGAATCACAAACACCCCTACCATTGCTATGTATCTGTGTGACTTAACCACACGACTGATGTTTCGGAGCTCTTCCTCCATGTTGGAGGCCCATACATCACGGATCCCATGATCCTCTAGTACCGCAGGCATACTGATTGATTATCATAAAAGCTCTCGTCGTCCTATGCAGATACAAATTAAAAAAAAAAAAAAAAAAAACTACATTAAAATGAAAACAATTACAGCCTTTACAATTCTTTAAAAAAACTTTGGCAGTTTTGTACACAGAGATGATTTCAAAAGTTGTGTTTCTTTCTACATTCTTTATTGTCAATAAAAATATTCTCACAGACAAAAACTACATGTCCACCAAAGCTTATGATTATTGATGATGAAGAAATTGAAAATGTCAAATTTGTGGGTACATTTCTTTTACTTCACCCTATCTCAGGAACTGAGATTTCGTGGAGAGTTCCTGAGAAAGTCCAATAACAAATCCTAACACCCCTAAATTATTGGACTTTTCCTGGAACTTCCCACAAAATCTCGGATTCTCCAAGATGGAGTGAATTAAAAAATAAGAACACATTTTTTTTGGGGACTGCCACTGTGCTCATGTTTTTTTTAAATTTTAAATATTTTTTTTCCATTACTCTTCTCCTGTTCCTTGACAAAGACTAGTCATAATATTCGTTTGTCAATGTGTCTTTTCTTTGATTGAGATTCTTGGTTATTCCGCTCATTCAAACTGAGGTATAAGCCCTACCACAGTCAGATCTATTTATCACATGATTCTAAAGCCAGAACAATACTATTATTAGTATGAGCTGAAGTTTATTATTATTAATTAAAACTCACAAAATATACAATCAGTAGCTGTACTGACACAAGGGCACTCCTACAAATAACGGCCCCAAATTATATAGGTCTCAAACCAACCTTTTCAGGGCCTCAGTTGGTGTTAGTAGGGTTAATTATATTTTAGTTCCCAGTATTCAATAGTTTTACTAGGTGAACTATCGAGGCACTGTACAGGTAAGATTTCAACCAAGATAATTTGGGGCCATTAATCGGAGAAGTGCCGACATCAAGAATTCATAGCCAACAAAGCCCCCAGAACTTCAAGATCTATGTCTAAAAAAAACCAATAAATATATGTCATTCATAACAACGTAAAACTTATCAAATTAGTTTATTATTCAACTGCTGTGGTTAGCTACCAAACTTGATATTAGCATTATTTTTCTGTATCTCAACCAAGAAATAAAGAAAAAACAAACAGTTTGAATTATTTATTTATCAAGTTTAAATGTTGAATTAAGAATCTACATCACAGCACTTGAAACATTCCCATAAGCTCTCCGTCCCCATCCTTATAGCAGCAACAGTCGTTCTGATGCAGTATCAGTAAAAGTGGAATTGCATATATATATATATATATATATATATATATATGATGAACATATATCCTTATCCAGATCGCCTTTTCCCTAAACTGGCCACTCTACTCTAGACACCCCCCCCCCCCTCCCCCTCCAGATCCCTCCCTTTTCCAGTTTAAAATTACAATTACTTTTAACAGAACTGGCCCAGAAGAAGTAGTGTACATGTTTAAATTTAAAACTGAAAGATAAAATAACACAGCCAAACTAAGGGTTTAAAACGAGTTTAGGTTAACTTTACCATCATCGAAAAGAATTTAAAGATAAAAGAACGCATTTAACAGACCTGATTGATCCGTTCAGTATGAGTATCAGTATACTATGAGTATTCTGAGTTATCTCGTTAGTTAACTGAGAATTTAGTATTTAAAGTATTTACTATTTATTACTTATTAGTTTAGCAGACTTCTTAGTCGCGCCTAGGTTGAAATTGAAATTAGAAATTTAATTTAAATCTTAATTTAAACACGATTTGAAATTACAAAATATTGCAAACTCTGTATTATTTATATGAAAGGTGTGTTTTTAAAATTTATTTATTTTATATTTAATGAGAGAGATGTTTTAAAATATGATAAGAAACAGACTCAAAGAAACTTACAAGATGGGTCAGCCATGTCTAGTTTTCGAGTTTTCTAGTAACTCTTCAAAAAGGAAGTGGAAGAAAATTTCCTGTGGTTCTTCCCCCTATTTTTATAGTCCATCTCGTGTTTGCGTCTATGTCTCTACAACTTTCTGTCTTTTGTAATTTCAGTGATTTCTGACAAGTTCATTTGAATATGATTTTCAGGTAATGCTGGTGTATTGGGAAACGAACCGGTAGATAGGCTGGCTGATTCTGCACCCTTTTTCGGTGAACTGCTGCATGTCAGGCTAGATGTTGTAAGGGTCCGTCGGAAGAGAGTGAACAGTGTGGAGGCATACATAGATCATCGCGGTCTGAGAAGAATGGTGCTGCGAGGGGCTTAGCATAGGATCTTGCCGACGCTCAACACGCAAAGGAAAGGCGAGATGGATATACAATCAGATATTACTAGTGTCATAGAAATTTGAACTCTTTAGAGGCCGCATTGGCGCAGTCGATAGGAGACTCGCTTTCAAATCCAGCAGCGACTCGCTGCAGCCCACGGCCGGTGTTCGAAACCGGGCGGTTCCGGGGGTTCACTCAGCCACGCCCATCATGAGCTATTTCTAGATAAACTCAGCCTATAGGTTATAGCACGGCCTTCTCTATTTATATATACAGACGGACCTGGTTATAGGTACCAGAGTACACTCTGGGGTAAATTGTGGAACGACGCTGTAGCTACGAAGTTGCATACGGACGGCAATACAGACGGACAGTTTCTTTTCAGCTGTCCGTACTGGTGGCAGATCACTTATGTTTTATAACCGTGTGCAATGACGCTGGTTCCCATCTCCCGACTTTACCTTTTTTTTTTTTTAACTCTGTGCTTGCTTTTGGTAATGGGAACATAGCGGTTATGAGAACGTCCCGAGTGCTGTGATGTCGGTTTTTCTTCTTCTTCTTCGCGTTCACCAGCTGTAAACTCTGGCGGAAGGTTCTGGTTGTTCGTCCACTACTGAACTGCAGTCCTGCTCCGGAAGCTGAGTGTTGCGTGTGCATCAGTTTTCCAGATCTCATTCTCTTGAATACAGACTGTTGGTTCCTTGCCTCTCCGGCAGATGCACTCCGACTTCAAAGGAGGCTCCCCAATTAGTCGACTCTTACGACATGCTTTTGAGGAGGCAGTGGGTCTATTCTTGTTTTCCCCCACAATGGGGACCCGGAACCTACACGGGGGATGTCGGTTCTTTTTTCAACATTTAACAAGATATTTCTGACACCAAAAATTCTCCAAGCTATGATGTCAAACCATACAGCATCTTCTTTGTTGTTTTCCCCTGCTTCTTTTCTCTTCCGAATGTCCCGCTCTTCTCCTCGTTTCACAAACATCCTAATGTGACTGAAAAAAGCAAGAGGAGGAGAACGTGATCACGTGGGACTTTTTCATATTTTCTGATGGCATTACGCTATTCAGCTGTTTTCTATATATGGAGTTTTTCTAGTTGTGCCACTCCAGCAAGTCTTGTAGTCCCTTGATTACTACTTAAGATTGGATATCTGTGAAGCTGATATAATTTGCCTTATTACGCTATAACATACAAGAAGAGATGTGATTTCTCTCGGAGATACTTCAGTTAAGTGATTCAGAGTATTCTTGCTCGTATTCGTGGTACTGTATATTTATGCAATGTGTTGAAGAAGGTTCTTTAGCCGCAACGCTCACTTGTCATTTGTGACTGTGATAATGTGAAACTGCTTTTACTTTTCGTTTAGCTGTAAACCTGTTTATGATACTCACAAACCGTGACTGGAAAGCTTAACAGGGGTATGAAACAATCGCAAAAATTCAACAACATTGTGACCAGACATTTTATAACAACTACATCTATTGAACAATTGGCTAGATAAATGTGTACCGTATAAGGACAAACGAAGCTAGAGAAAATATGGACAGGACGAGCTCTAATGAAAGCCTGTAAACAGGAGCGGGAATATGAAGAGATAATATTTTTAGAATATATTACCCCAAAAACATTAATAAGAGAAGAAAATGTTAATTCAATGTTGAAAGAGATGTAGACCCACCCCACCCCCACCCCAGCAATGTTGCCAGAAGTAACCACCTATTTCAAATACAATACATAAAAAAATAGTTGCATGTTTTTTACAGGACGTTGCAGAACCAACCACAACATATTGCTATTTGTGATTTCCCAAAGCAATTTCACTTCGATATAGTTTGCCATTGCTTTCTAAACGGTCGGTTTTCGATATCACTGTTGAAACCAACGCCAGGCGGTCTGCGCTAGGCGACAGCAGAGGCTATTTATAAAAACGTTATATTAAAACAAGGAAGTGTTTTTATCAGACATTTTTATCGAATGATAAAAGCTAAAGTACAATGCAGAGTGCGCTTAATATATTTTGTCTTTATCGAGCAGGATATGAACAGCGGATATCTGTAGTGCAGCGGTTTCCAGCCAGTGATCGGCGGAGCCCTTAGGGTTTCGTGGGCACTTCTCAGGGGTTCCCTGGTTGCGCCAGAAAATAAATAAATGCTGAATGAAATGATAGATAAAGAAACTAAAAGTGGATTCAGAATATGAAAACTAGAAATTAAATTATGAATGGAGATTTGCCATGCTGAAAATAGTGCCGCCTCAAACGATAACGCTTGATACTTCTGCTGCTACTAGTTGCAAAATTATTGTAGCGCGCAAAACCGAACACCTACAGAGATCACACAACAATCGTTAATGTAAAACACTGACTAACATGAGACAGTTGACATCAAGAGATGCAGGTACCCTTACCCAAAACGCAGGCCGTGATGGCTTTTTAGATCACCATAAACGCCTTCCCGTCCCCATGGATAATATTCAGATCCAAACTCACACTGCTCCCGATAAGCTCGTTTTCTATGCCACTGGACTCTGTCATGATCGCGCAGTGACTGCAAAGTGTGGGGACTATTGTGCAGGGATAGACAGTATCACAACAGCCAGTCCAAAACCAACCCTGGCTATCACAATACCTCAATACTACTTACGTGACACATAATTCAGAACACTGTCGCCGTCAAACGCTACAAAATACATAGGAACTACTATGCTCTAACGAAAGACATTATCACAAGCTAT